TCCAAAGTAAGTCTTTAAATCCTACTAAAGTACACAAGGTCAAAAAGTGTTTTAATACTGCATTAATTTTTAGATGGAGAATTAATATTCATGGTGATATTGATGGCTTTTAGCAGACTGGATAGACTAGTTGTCACACAACAGAAGCAGCACTGTGATGGAGAAGTTTGTCAAAGGTGTGCTGTCTGCTGTGACCAAGATGGAGAGACCCAACTGTGTTTGCTTTTCATGGAAGTTTTTTTGAAGTTCTGCCAGGAGGAGTGCTTTGAGGGGATGCTACAATAGAGATATTATATGTTACAATAGAGATATTATTGTAAAAGATGTTTCAACAATTCAGATCAACTTACCTCAGAATCATCTTACTGTCACTGATTGCGAATGTTGCTGATACCTCCTCTTCGTCATTTCTACATCTCATTCCACCTGAGAAGAGATGATGCAACCCCTCAGAGGACCTCAGATGATGCCAACCCTGAAACAACATACAGAACTACCACATTTTGCTATAAGTTTGATTGCATCATATAATAATTGCTGTTAATATTATTCATCGTCTGTTTTATTATGTCTTATATTGATTTTTCTGTACTGCTGGTTCGTCTGGTCAGAGGAGAACTGGCCCCCCGACTGAGCCTGGTTTCTCCCAAGGTTTTTTCTCCATTCTGTCACTGATGGAGTTTTGGTTCCTTGCCGCTGTCGCCTCTGGCTTGCTTAGTTGGGGACACTTCATTTCCAGCGTTACTGTCACTGATTGCGAATGTTGCTGATACCTCCTCTTCGTCATTTCTACATGGAGATGAGTCCACACTGCCCAGCAGCACCACTGGTTTCCCCATATGCTGTAGCACAGGTCATAGAAAGGTCAGTCTAATCTTCCACTGCCGCTCTTTTCCATTGTAATTGTGCATTTGTTGGAATTTTTTCACGTCTTGCTGGAATTTTCTCTCGAGAAACCACGCTCTGGAGGCCTCTCAGGACAGGCTTCCAATGGATGGCAGGCCTCCAGAGTGGCACCTGTTTCAGGCACCATGGCAGAGCAGGCAGACTGGGAGGCCATGGCGGAGTAGACAGTTCAGGGGGCCATGGAGAAGTAGACAGTTCAGGAGGCCATGGCGGAAGAGGGAGCTCGGGGAGCCTGGCCTCGGCACTCAGCCCGGCCTCCACGGATCGACCCCTACTACCCCCCCACAAAAAATCCTTGGGCAGAATATCGTCTTTAGAGGCCCTCCATAGACTTAACTCGGGAACTGTGGCCCTCCCTGGGATTGACTTGGGGACTGGAGCCCTCCTTGGGTTGGACATGGGAACTGGAGCCCTCTCTGTGCTAAACTCGGGGACTGGAGCCCTCTCTGGGCTAAACTCGGGGTCTAAACTCAGGGACTGGAGCCCTCTCTGGGCTAAACTCGGGAACTGGAGCCCTCTCTGCGCAGAGAACAGTCTTTTTCTCCTCATCCTCCAAACAAAGGTTGCGGGTTTGAGTCTCGTACCGGCAGGGATTGTAGGTGGGGGGAGTGAATGTACAGCGCTCTCTCCCACCTTCAATACCACGACTGAGATGCCCTTGAGCAAAGCACCGAATCCCCAACTGCTCCCCGGGCGCCGCAGCAAAAAATGGCTGCCCACTGCTCCGGGTGTGTGTTCACTGCTGTGTATGTGCACTTTGGATGGGATAATTGCAGAGCACTAATTCCAAGTATGGGTCACCATACTTGGCCACATGTCACGTCACTTTCACTTTGGCTAAGGGAGAACGGCACGGCCAGCGGGCTTGACTGAGGAACGGTCGGCGGGCTGGTTCTGGCTTGGGGCCGGACGCTCTCCAGACACTGGAGGATCCCTTCCCTCCAGTGTAGTTCCATGGTGTCTGGGAGGTCCATGGGGTGATGGTAATTGGCCCAGTGCCAGAACAAAGAGTTGATGGTGCCGTCATCTAAAGCCAGGAAACATACGTAGGACACGGGGCCGACATTCAAAACAGCACTCAGGACTCTGGAAACACAGGGCTTAAATACACATGGAAACTAATGGGACACACCTGGGATCAATGGAACTAAACGGGGAACACCTGGAACAAATGACATTAATAAGGACAGGAACGGGAAGGACCAAATAAGGGCATAGGAGGAACACGGGGGAAAACCAGGACACGGAGCATGTGGGGAACCAAACACAAATCGTAGGGAAGTCGTGGCCTAATGATTAGAGAGTTGGACTCGTAACCCAAAGAGTCTCGTACTGGCAGGGATTGTAGGTGGGGGGAGTGAATGTACAGCGCTCTCTGTACATTCAATACCACAACTGAGGTGCCCTTGAGCAAGGCACCGAACCCCCAACTGCTCCCCGGGCGCTGCAGCAAAAATGGCTGCCCACTGCTCCAGGTGTGTGTGTGTTCACTGCTGTGTGTGTGCACTTTGGATGGGTAAATGCAGAGCACTAATTCCGTGTATGGGTCACCATACTTGGCCACATGTCACATATCACGTCACGTCACTTCGTCACAAGAGACAGAAACAGAGTCTGACACTTAGACTTAATTGTGGCCACACAGACCTGGCCACAAAGTTTAACTGTAGCACAGCCACGGTAACCAACTAATCTGTAGGTTAGTGCGTGACTGCACCGAGGTTGCCATCTCGGACACTGTGAGATTTGATGAACAGAGTCAATTGTACAGCCAGTATAAAGGACAGACCACACTTAAGGCTTTGTGTAGCACACAATGGAATAATTACCTTTGCCGATGACCTGTGTTGAGGGAGTGCTTCAGACAAGGCAATAAAAGCTGACTGTGGGCTTCTCAAACACCTAAAACCAGGTGATATAATTATGGCAGACAATTTGGTTTCACAATTTTACGACATTTTGCCAGAGGACGGTTCACACAGGAGGAGGTGAACAATATCAGACTTCTCTCCAGTGCTCAGATACACGTTGAGCGTTTCATTCAGAGGCTGAATTGTTTTGTTTACATGCGTAAATGCTGAATTGTTTTGCATTTTGAACCACATCCCATACCAATTCAGCTGCAGTCCGTAACTTTTAGCGCTCTAGCGTTTAATAAACAGAACTGCATGCGTCTTGTGTAAGAATATTGTAGCCAGAGCTACTTCTCTCTGTTTATGTCTATGACGAATCACGCAGGTACTGGGCTACTCCGTAGCAGTACCTACCCGAACCAGTCTAAAATAGTCAGAATATAAACACTTATTATAGGCACTGTAGTGATTCAGGATAAGCCAGAAACACGGTTTGGAAAATGGATTCATGGTGTACTTGCTTATTATATAAATTTTGATCACTAAAAAAGTTACAGACTGCAGCTTTAAGTACATTTTACGTTTAAAATTCAGTTTCCCTTCTTCCTTTCATTGCAAAAACACTTGAATGAGCTGTGTTCAACCAAGTCTCTGCCTTTCTAACACAGAATCTCCTGGACAGCAACCAGTCTGATTTCAGAAGTGGACATTCGACCAAAACTGCCTTGCTCTCAGTTGTTGAAGCCCTAAGATTGGCAAGAGCGGATTCCAAATCTTCAAAACTTATCTTGCTGGTTCTGTCAGCTGCTTTTGACACGGTTAACCACCAGATCCTCCTGTCAACCCTATTGGCAAAGGGCATCTCAGGAACCGCACTCCAGTGTTTTGAGTCTTACCTCTCAGATAGGTCCTTCAAGGTATCTTAAAGAGGTGAGGTGTCCAAGTCGCAACATCTAACTACTGGGGTGCCTCAGGGCTCAGTTCTTTGACTGTATACATGGCATCACTAGGTTCTGTCATTCAGAAACATGGCTTTTCATATCAATGCTATGCTGATGACACTCAACTCTACCTCTCATTCCATCCTGATAATCCGACGATAGCTGCTTGCATCTCAGCATGTTTAATTTCTTGCTGGATGAAGGACCATCACCTTCAATTTCACCATCTAGTTAGGCACATCAACCATAACTCCTTCAAAAACAACCAGAAACCTCGGAGTTCTTTCTCAGACCACATTGCTAAAACTACCTGGTCCTGCAGATTTGCTTTATTCAACATCAAGAAGATCAGACCCTTTCTTTCGGAACATGCTTCAAGCTCTTATTCTGTCCAGGCTGAACTATTGCAATGCTCTCTTGGCAGGTCTTCCATCCAGTTCTATCAAACCTTTATAATTAATCCAGAATGCGGCAGCAAGATTAATTTTTAATGAGCCGAAAAGAACGTAATCAGCGCTGTTTACGTTCAGCATGCGCGTGCTTTTGCTGAACGTAATCAGCGTTGTTTTCTTTGCGCACAAAAAGTATTTTCGTAGCTTCGTAAAATTGCAGTTCAACCCCTGATGTCACATGGACCATTTTACCGATGTTCTTGCTACATTTCTGTGCTTTGATCGTGGTAATATTTTTGCTGTCTATGGAGGATCAGAGCTCTCAGATTCCGTCAAAAATATCTTAATTTGTGTTACAAAGATAATCTGAGATTTTATGGGTTTGGAATGACCTGAGGATGAGTAATTAATGACAGAATTTTCATTTTTGTGAACTAACCCTTTAAAAGAGACTAAGGTGAGAGATCCAGTTTCTGTAGCTAAGGAGAAAAATCTAAGCACAGTGTGTGATGTTGATGAGATTTTTTCTAAAGCTTTAAAGGAGTACCTACTTTTCCAGCACTTTGGATTAACACTACAGTGGACTTTTGTATATATACCGGTGGACACTTTTGGGACATTCACTTTGGGACTAGCAACACACTGGATTTCTTAAGGATTGTTTTAGGGTATGGAACTGAAAGACTGTGCATTTAACAGAATATTGTAAATACATATTTGATTTTCACTTTTAACATTGTTGTCTGTCTCATCTTTTTAAACACTCAAAGCTCTCGCACAGTATACTCTGACCCCATTTTAACAAACGTAACATCTTCCAATAAAGCCGATCGTTACAAGATCTCTTATAAAACTTTAAAGAAAGTTTATTTTCTAGCAAGAAAAGGTCAAACAGTCTTACAGTCACCTTCTCAATTCTCAAAAGTTGCTTACGTAGAATGTATTAAAGAATTTACAGTATTAAAGAATTCCATTACAACATATACACTCTCATTTAGATCATCAACATAAATCATAGATACCTAACATGGTATAAGTGAGGTTACATTAACTAGCGATTCTATCATAACGCATGTGTAAAACAGTATACAATACAATAGACAATATACAAGAACAGTAATAATACACACAATGACCTGAGGATATGAGTGTTCATTCTCAGAAATGTTTGTCTATGAATTATTCAGAGAAGAGTCCTTTTCTATGGGCATTATGTGTCTTGGAAATGTAGTGAGAGTTGCTCTGCCCACATTCCTTTAAGCAATAAAACCAGTGTTATCAGATGATTTGTCTTCGATTGCCATGGAACCAGAGGCCTGTTCTGCCTTTTTGAGGCATTAGTTGCATTTCGGTGGAAGTCATAGTTGGCTCGTTGGTTGGGTGAGGGGTGTTAGGGGTTATTTGTTAAATATAACAAATGTCAATGTAGCAAGATGCGATTCAGCTGTAAAGCAGCTATACGGAAGATGTTATGCCATCATCCAGTTTAAGTGAAACTCAAGATTTGCTTTGTTTCTGGAAGTCTTTCCACAGTGATGGCACATGACAGGCTTCCCTCCGATGTCTCTGAATGATTCTTTGGCTTTTCTTGTCTGTAAAACTTAAAACAACACTTAACATTTAAACAGGTCCCTCTTGAGTAAATCTTCATGTGGCACTGAAGGTTACCTTTTCAGTTGAAACATCTCTTTAGTGTGAATTCTCATGTGAATTTCAAGGTATCGCTCTTGACTGAAACTCTTTCCACACTGAGGGCATATGTAAGGCTTTTCCTCAGTGTGAGTTCTCATGTGCCTGTTAAGACTTCCTTTATGAGTAAAACTGTTTCCACACTGTTGGCAGGTAAAAAATCTCTCCATAGTGTGAATTCGCCTGTGGACTTTAAGGCAGGTGAAGGGTTTCTTTTCAGTGTGAACTCTCATATGGTAATTAAGGGTTCCAGGTTGACTGAAACTTTTTCCACACTGTTTGCAGGTAAAAGGCTTCTCTCCAGTGTGAATTCTCATATGGTGAACAAGATTTCCAGGTTGCCTGAAACTCTTTCCACACTGTTTGCAGGTGAAAGGCTTCTCTCCAGTGTGAATTCTCAAGTGAGATTCAAGATTTACGTGTTGACTGAAACTCTTTCCACACTGTTTGCAGATGAAAGGCTTCTCTCCAGTGTGAACTCTCATGTGAACTTTAAGGTTTCCATGAAAACTAAAACTCTTTCCACACTGATTGCATGTGTAAGGCTTCTCTCCAGTGTGAACTCTCATGTGCTTGTTAAGGCTTCCTTTATTAGTGAAACTGTTTCCACACTGTTGGCAGGTAAAAGGGCTGTGGACATCGAGGTTTCCATTTTCATTGAAACTCTCTTCACACTGAGGGGATCTGTTAGGCTTCTCTCTATTGTGAATTTTCATGTGCCTGTTAAGTTTTCCTTGTTGATTGAAAGTCTTTCCACACTGAAAGCAAGCAAAATAATTCCTAGTTTCTGTCTCTTGAGCTATTTTTCGTGTGAAAGTCTTTTCAGACTGTAAGGAACAAAAAGATTTTTCTCCGGTAATGAAATCATGAAGCTTCTCATACTGATCTTTCTCCTCAATTTCATTCAGTACTTCCCCCTCCTCTTTCAGTGCCATCAGGTCTAAGGTGAAAAAACAAACCAAAAAAAGTTAACCCCAGTTTAATGGCTCAAAGCAATCAACATCAAAACATGTAGATATGTAATGCATGTATGCTAGATCCTACACCAGGGTGTCCAAACTTGCTTTCGGTCGGCCTGTGTCCTACAAAGTTTAGTTCCAACTTGCCCCAACAAATCTGCTAGAAGTTTTTCCAAAGACATTGATTAGCTTTAATTGGGATTAGAGCTAAACTCTATAGGACAGCTGTCCTCCAGGAGCAGGATTGGACACCCCTGTCCCATATCCACTACGCTACTGAAAGAGGCATTACATGTAATCTGATGCATATTTGCATTCATGATGCATATTCTAATGAGCGCAGCATGAGCTTGGCTTTGATCATTAGAAAAATTCAGCACGGAGATTCATTAAAAGAAGGGTAATTAAGGGTAATGAATTGCAAACACATTATATTGTTTTGTGTAGTGCGAGTCTGTAAATAAATTATAGATTTGTATTGATTTGTAGTGGTGAGTGGGGTTTCATATGATGGTTATTCTGTACCATTGTTTTGTTTTTCTCTTGTTCTGTTCTGCAAAAATTACTTGCTTTGGCATCTAACCATTGCTACAACCAGGGCTCAACATTAAGCCTTGATATGTGCTTGTCCTTTGGACAAGTAAATCAATCATTCATTTGTCCAAGTAAAAAAGTTAGTTGTATGTAAGAAACAGGATTTTTTTGTTGTTGTTGTAAATTTCATTTATTTGTAAGCAATATTCTCATCACTGTTTTATCAGCTCTAACATAAATATCTGTGGTATTTGCCACATTAAACAAAATGAGTGTCAACAAAATCCACTACAGAAGACACACAGAAAGGGTAATTTAGATGCATTTATGAAGCTCAGAGGTAGTAGCATGAATGTATTTACCTAGCCTAGCAAAATTACTGCAATGTTGAGAGATAAATGTTTTATACATGTTAAAATATTTAAATGATTATACAAACATTACATGTTTTTTTTTAATGCAATGATACTTTTACACATGAAATTTAACTGCCAGTAGATGTGAGGTCTTAATAAGGGAGTCATTGAATCATTCATTCAACTGATTCATTCAAATGTCTGATTAATTCAAGAATGAAGCAAAGTACTTTATGTATGGGTCATTGAATCTCGGACTAACAGGATTCATACAAAAATGCTGAATCAATCAGTAACAAAACACTGTTGTGTGTTGTTCACAGATGCGCAACTACTCTTCAGTGATCTTTCTTTGGAACTATTTTCATCTGTCAATATCTCGAAAATGTAAGTCACTTTACGTTAACTACTTGTATAAAATCGGTGTCACGTTTGCAGTCCTGATATTTAAGAAAACATCACTCTTGGTTATGTGTTGTTGCTTATTATGCAATAAATATAAAAACCCAACTTTATACATTTTTACCACAGTATATTTCTTCTGTGAGTTTCTTGTGTGTGCTGTTTTGATTTCTCCATGAGAGTCTCTCTCACACACACACACAGTAAGACTGCACAAGCTTCATCTGGCACGACCATGCTACTGACAATACATTATCCATTATCAGTCGACATTCACACTGAATGTAATAAAATCAGAATCCTTCTCACGAAAGCTTTAGTGCATCCTTAGTTAGTTTTTGTTAATGAGGCCACTTGTCCAGTTGAGCAAATAAAAGTCTCTTTCACGTGCCCCTTCAAAATATCCACTTGTCACAGACAAACAGACATGCGTAAATGCTAAAATCAATGACACTCTGTCTACACTGATCAATGGATGGACTTGTTTGAGATTCACCTTGTTTTGCCTGGAATTTAGATAAGAGCAGGTGGCTGTAGTGAGAGGAGAAGTGAAGTAAGTGCAGTCGAAACAGACAGCGGTCATATCTTGTAGTGTGTCAGCCACCTACAGTATGAGATTAAAGGAGGATAGTGTGATTCACGCTCATGTGCTTTGTTGCTAATAAACTGGATGTAATTTAAATTCTGTTGTTTTGATATGAAAATATACGACTTAAGAAAACTAAAGTACTTATGTAATTTGGAAATACAGTGCTGCTTGAAAGTTTGTGAACCCTTTAGAATTTTCTATATTTCTGCATAAATATAACCCAAAACATAATTAGATTTTTATTTATAATTAGGAGGTCTTTGCCCCCCCGAGCAATGTGAGACACTTTTTTTTAGACTTTTACACGTCTTGCTTTTAGAGTGGTCTTTGTTGGTGGACCACTCCTGGGGAGGGTAACAGTAGTCTTGAATTTCCTCCATTTGTACACAATCTGTCTGACTGTGGATTGGTGGAGTCCAAACTCTTTAGAGATGGCTTTGAAATCTTTTATAGCTTGGTGAACAACATCAACTCTTTTTCTGAGGTCCTCAAGAGATCTCATTTGTTTGTGCCATGATACACTTCCACAAACATGACCAAACTTAGATAGAATAGAGCCCTTTAAATAAAACAGATTTTAACACGATTAAGACAATACTCTGATTAAGAATCTATCATGTAAACAGGGATTTTTAATTACCTTAATCCGACTAAAGTCATATTCGAAGTAAACACAAATCGAATTAAGACGTGGAGTATTCCTATTTTAGTCGCATTTCGCCACATTTTTGCGATATATAGTATAATCACATTTTTTCATGATTATAATATATAATATTATGTTTTCTGCATCAATTGGGGGGAATCTTAACCGAGGAGGCAAACTGACCAACAGGGAGCTATGATCTATTGAATGTGTATTTTTCAAGCATTTTATTGTTCTGCACAGTGATAACTAGTGAAAAGTGTTTCCTACTAATTTACTTAAAAGTATGGTTAACCCAGAATTCTGTCATCATTTACATTATTACATCAATTCCCCTTAATGTTTTTTTTCAAACCCCTGACTTTTGTTTTTCTGCAGAAGAAAGAAGATATTTGAAGAATGCTGGTAATCAAAACCAACAGGTTTGTCACGTGTAGACGACATAAAGGGAGTAAATTATTTTCATTTTTGGGTAAACTATCTCTTTAATTAGGATGATACACACTTTAAATTTCAATCATACTGGACACACCCACTTAATTTGCTCCCGAGCAAAGTACTCACTAGACTAAGATGTGGAAAGACATGCTGCACAATGTCCCACAATGAGAAACAACCAAGAACAGTATTCACTGATTACCTTGAAAAATTATTCATAGTTAGGTAATAATTATTTAAATTATTTTACCAAGTACAAAAGGTTTAATTCAAAAACGTTGCCATTTACCAATGTGCTTTTCAAAACACCTTTTAAATTTGTAATGTTTTAACCTTTATTTATTAAATGTTACAGTCCAAGTGTACATATAAATGCCTCATTCATTCAAGTAAATGCCTGGGTAATTTCACAAAATGTGTTAAATATTTTATTTACACTTATTGTATAACCGCTGTTTTTTGCTGTAATTTCATGGTTTTGTAAATAAATGTTCCTCATGATAAATGTTCCTCATGCCTTATTTAATGGACTTTAAAATTGCTTTCATAATAATGAGATGTTTATAGATTTGTTAAGTCGTGTTATTTATGTATTATAATCTATATAATTAAAATGAAAGTAAACGTTTTGTCTAGGTAAAGTTATTAATTTAAAATGAAATATTAATGAACAGTACAGTAGATATAGAAATGCAACTGTGCCAAATCTGGCGTGCTGCGCAACGGGCCGAGTCCGGCTTGGATGCCGCAGTGTCGGCAAGTTACGTCTGTCGCATCTAGTCCGGTTGATTCGGCCCAGAATCTGAAAGTGAGTACGCAAGCATCCAGGCCGGGTGCGGCAGATGGATCCGGGCCGATGGACAAGTCTCTAGCAGGTGAAGATTTAACTGAAAATGACCCGAGTGTACGGAGAAGGATTGTGTATGAGGTAGATGTAAACAACCTAGCAAACGTCAAGTTGGTAAGTTTTCACTAGACTTAAGTGGAGTCAGCAGTTCGCTCGACAGTAAATAAGGATCTAATCCTAAAGTATCCATTTTTTTTAAATACCATTGTTTTCCGTTGTTGGTGAAGTGTTATTTTTATTTCCGATTACCAAGGAGAGGCTACGCAAGGTCCTAAAGATGGCGGCCGCAACAAAAAAGTCACGTGACTGAAACCCATGAATATTCGGGCCAATACAGTTCTACACTCTTGTGACCTTCTTCATAAATATCATTCATTTCTGTAGAGCTGCACATTTTAAGGATCGAATGAGTGAGTTCAGCTTTGAGAATGAAAACCAACCTGTTTGCTCCTCACTATCTTCATGTTTGTCTCTGAATGCTTCTTCAACCTTCATGTCTTCACTCTCCTCTTTAATAAACTCCATCTTTGTTTGTTCCTCAGCATCTTCATGTTTGTCTCTGAATGTTTCTTCAATCTTCATGTCTTCACTCTCCTCTTTAATAAACTCCATCTTTGTTTGTTCCTCACTATCTTCATGTTTGTCTCTGAATGCTTCTTCAACCTTCATGTCTTCACTCTCCTCTTTAATAAACTCCATCTTTGTTTGTTCCTCAGCATCTTCATGTTTGTCTCTGAATGTTTCTTCAATCTTCATGTCTTCACTCTCCTCTTTAATAAACTCCATCTTTGTTTGTTCCTCAGTATCTTCATGTTTGACTCTGAATGCTTCTTCGATCTTGATGTCCTCACTCTCCTCTTTAATAAACGGCATCTTTATAATTGTGTGTCTCGTGAATCTCAGTTGATCCACCAGGAGTTTTTCTGTGTTTGGACACTTTGTCCTGTTTAATGAGAGAATAATTAACAGATAGAAAAAAAATAAATGCAAACGAAATCTCTGTCAGCAGCCTAGTTCATTAGTCAGTGCACTGGTAAAAGAAGACGTCATATACAGTGATAGTTAACGGACTTAAATGACCTTATTAAAATACATATTTAGGTATTTGTGATTTATATTAGGTATTCAATTACTTGAACGTAATATTAAATAGATTACATTTTTATGAAAACGTTTGCAGTTGGTTTGTAAAGATTCCAGGTCAAAATAAAGTATACTTGAATGCGCTAAAAAATACTTAAATAGCAGCAAGTACATTTT